GGCGCCTGGGTGGCTCAGTTGGTTAAGCGACTGCCTTCAGCTCAGGTCATGATCCTGGAGTCCCTGGATCGAGTCCCGCATCGGGCTCCCTGCTCAGCAGAGAGCCTGCTTCTGCCTCTGACCCTCCCCCCTCTCATGTGCTCTCTCTATCTCATTCTCTCTCAAATGAATAAATAAAATCTTAAAAAAAAAAAAAAGAATGACTTAGCTTTTTGGGACTAGGCAACTGGGTGACTGGTGGTTCCTTTTTCTAAAATTGGGAAAGATTAGGGAAAGAGTAGGTGTGTGTGTGTGTGTGTGTGTGTGTGTGTGTGTGTGTATGTATGTTTGGCAGGGAGCAGACATCAGCTTGGACATTGTAGGGTTTTGGTGCCTAATGGCCCCAAATGGACATATTGGGTAGGCAGTTAAGTTTGAGCCTGATGCCCAAAGGAGAGGTCCCTGAAAGCTGAAAAGAACAGATCCAAAGTCATCAGCATATAGATGGTATTTAAAGCCCTAGACTAGGTGAAATCACCAAAAAAGTGAGTGTAGGTAGTGAAGAGGCCCAAACTAGAGGATTCCAATATAAGATACCAGGCTAAAGAGAAGGATAGTAAAAAAATAAGAGGAACACTGGAAGAGGATGGTATCACAGAAGCCAAGATCCAAAAAAAGATATTTCAAGAAGAGAGTCGTGAGCAGTCAAATGCTACTGAGAGGTGGAGCAGGATGGAGACAGAGAAGTGACGATTAGATTTGCAAGTTGGAGGACACTGACGACCTTGAAAAGTACAGTTTCAATGGAGGAGGAAACAAGTATAAGTGAAGTGGTTAAGGAAGGAAAGGTAAATGGGAACTTAGACAATTCCATTAATAAATTGTTATGAGAAGGGGAGAAGAAAATTAGGGCATGTCTGGCTACTCCCTCATTCTCCTGCCACCTCAAGGGATTAGAGAACACAGCCAGAATGAGAACACTTGGTGGGAGCATGCTGTGGTGCTTCTCTTTTAATTTTTGGTCACTGTCCCTCATTGTCTATAGTATCTCTGTACATGGATGTCTGAGATGCATAGGGAGCCACTGCCAAACCCCATGACATTGGCCTCACTTGGCACCTTAGCCACTGTTCTCCATGCTTGCCCTTCTGTCAGGCCCTAGTGACTCCAGCTCCAATCAGGTCACCAGGCCCAACTTTGCTGATCAAGTCCTGCTCTGTCTCCTCTCACCTGGCCTCTTCCCTCTTGGCCTCTGGATGTATTCTGTCCTCCCTCTCAGGACCTATCCCTGCACCTGTTACTTGCCTATCCCATCAGCACTAGAGGTACCTCTGATACCCCACAGGGTCCCACTACTGGCGTCTGGACACTAGCCGGGATGGGTGGCACAGATGGCCCATTGTCCATCAGTGGCCCCAGGGTCCTTCAACAGTGGATGCTGCCTTTTCCTGGGACGATAAAGTCTACCTAATCCAGGTATGTGTTGGGAGAGAGGCTTGAAATGGGGACTGGGAGCGTATCCAGCTCTATGCTGATTAACGTCCTTTGTCCTCCAGGGCACTCAGGTATATATCTTCCTGACAAAGGGAGGCTATACTCTAGTAGATGGTTATCCAAAGAGGCTGGAGAAGGAATTTGGGAGCCCTCATGGGATCAACCTTGAGGCTGTGGATGCAGCCTTTACTTGTCCTGGGACTTCTCGGCTCCACATTATGGCAGGTGAGGGGCATCTGGATACTGCATGGTGGCTTGTTCTGGTACTTCTCCATGGCATAGATCCCCGTCAGGGCTTGGGGAAGGGTAAGGCGAGGATCCCATGATGTGGAAGCTATGTTTTGTCTGGTGCCTTCTTTCCAGGACGGAAGCTGTGGTGGTTGGACCTGAAGTTAGGACCTCAAGCCACGTGGACAGAGCTTCCTTGGCCCCATGAGAAGGTTGACGGGGCCCTGTGTGTGGAGAAGTCCCTCGGCCCCCATTCATGTTCTGCCAATGGTCCTGGCTTGTACCTCATCCATGGCTCCGATCTGTACTGCTACAGTGATGCAGAGAAACTGAGCACAGCCAAGACCCTTCCCCAGCCCCAGAAAGTGGGGAGCATCCTGGGTTGCAATCATTGAGAGGAGGTCTCTTGAGATGAGTCTGGCCCAGCTCCTTCTCCCTGTTTTCCTCACAATAAAGCCAGGGTGCTTCTTTGCTGGACTCAAGGGGCCCTGGTTTTGGAACAATCTCATTTCTTTCTTTGAATTGAGAAGCTAGTAATATCTCTTTGGGGGCTGTCAAGTTCAAATGAGGCTGTGGGAAGCAAGAGAGGGAAGGGCTGAGGGGAAAATTCCCAGTAGACTCACACTCTGGACCACGGCCTCATCTGGTTTAAGGCCAACCCCTCCTGACCTGGTGGCCCCTTGCTTTGTGGGAATTTGGTGGGTAGAAGAGTAGACTGACAAGCTCCAACTGCCACACAGGGCTTTGTACTGGGAGGCCAGGCCATAGAGTGGTTTCTGACAGGCACCAGGTCCCACTGGACCAGGAGAACTGCCTAAGGTTCCTTCACCAGCCTCAGTGGCTGGGAGGGAGGACAGAAGATGAATCTGGGCTTCTTAGATCAGGATGCACCCAGGGCTTGAGGTTGGCTATGGCTGGGGATAGAGGTTAGGGGTGAAGCACCAGAGCTGTGGGGTCCACTCCCAAGAAGTATCTTGAGCTTTCCCCTTCATCCCTGAAGTCTAGATGATTATCATAGGGCTGGGTGTTCCTCCTTCAGTCTGAGAGGTGGGGATAAGGCCAGAGTCTCAGGTCTGGGCCTTATTCAGTCAATGTGCTACATCTGGGGCCATCACTGCATCATGCCAGAGAGTTTGGAGGTGTCTAAACAGTTATCCAGCAACTCTGGTACTCAAGATTAACTTCCTCCTATCGAAAGAGGAAATTTAAGTCTCTTCTTTCTTCTCTTCCCTACCTGCTCTGTTACAGGGAAGCCTCTAGTTTGTTTCCAAGGAACTCCCAGAAAAGGTCCCACTCATGCTTCTTTCATCCACTCAGCACCTCCTAGGTGCAGAACAATAGGTCATTCAATGAATCACACAATCCCTGCCCTCAAGAATCTCCAACTCTACATTAGAGTCAAGAGGGGACCCCAGACAAGGCATTACATAAATGCAATAAAGTGAGATAGATATTAAGGTGGAAGAGCCTATATACCAAGGAAAGTTGAATCAGCAATACCTGGGATGGAGGAGTTAGGAAAGGCTTCACACATAACACTTAATCTGAATTTTAAAAGATGAGTAGAATGTATGGAAGTCCTTTAGCAAATATATATTCACTACCTACTATGCACTACCATGCCAGGAACATTATAGGCAGAGGAAGCGACCTGAGCAAAAAAAAGCCAGAGTAGATGAAATAGCCAGGATTGGGAACCACAGTTACTTAGGAGGGCTGAATGAGAGGCTGGTGGGAGATGAGGTTGGAGAAGGAGGCAGGGACTTGTCAGCTCATGTCAGGCTGAGAAGCATGGATTTTGTCTGTATTTGAGGCAATGAAGACCTACTAAGGGATTTTAGACATGGGCATGGCATGCTGAGGTTTGCATTTTAGAGATTACTCTGACTGTGGCAGAGAGGATACTGAGTGAAAGGAGGCCACAGTGGATGCGAGGAGACCACTGAGGAGGTTGGCACTGTGGCCCAGGTGGTAAACCACATAGGCCTGGGCACTGGGTGGCAATGGAGATGAAGAGAAAAAGGCACATTAAAAATATTTAGAAGACGTAATCAGAGAGGGAGACAAACCTTAAGAGACTCTTAACCATAGGCAACAAACTGAGGGTTGTGGAGGGTGGGGGGTGGGAGGATGGGGTAACTGGGTGATGGGTATTAAGGAGGGCACGTGATATAATGAGCACTGGGTGTTATATACAATGAATGTATATGAATCACTGAACTCTACCTCTGAAACTAATAATACACTATATGTTAATTAACTGAATTTAAATTAAAAAATAAAGAAATTGCACCAAAAAATATTTAGAAGACAGTCTATAGGACTTGCTGATAGATTGGATAGAGGGGTGAGGGAAAGTGAGAAACCTCACCTCCAAATGGCTCCACGGCTCCTTTCCCCATTCATAATTGCACCTCTCCTTCCCAAACTTCCCATGGTACCTCTTGTAATTCACTCCATGGTTAATAAGCTTCTCTATATTCTTTACACACTCTATCTATCTCCAGCTTTAACTGAGATCAAGCTCTGCACGAGGGTCCCTCCTCCTTCCCTATAGCTGTCCCAATAGATGGGCAACGGTATTAGCTTTAGCATGACTCCCATACACATCTGTACCATTTCTCTTCCTCTTTCTATGCAGGTTAAATTTCTCCTTCTTTGGCATCATGCAAATGAGCCATACAATTCTTATGGCCATCATCTACCAACCTCTTGACTATGTTCTCTCAGTTGGTGAAGCCATCCAATTAGTATGACCAAACTCTAACCCTAGTGATTATTCACAATTGCTCCACCTGTGAAAAATTTCCTTAAGTTCCATCCCGCTTGTAACCACAACTTCTTATCTTTATCCTTCTGCCTCCTGCACAACTTCATTCTCCTCCAGCTCCTTGCCTTTAGAGATGTTTGAGCCCTTTATTATCTCCCAGTCCTCCATTGTCACAAAGCCATTCTTTTCCTACCCAAATTGAACATCAAGGTCAATCACCTGAACAACTTTCTTAATAATACTTTTATTTCGGGGCGCCTGGGTGGCTTAGTCATTAAGCATCTGCCTTCGGCTCAGGTCATGATCCCAGGTCCTGGGATTGAGCCCCGCATCGGGCTCCCTGCTCAGCGGGGAATCTGCTTCTCCCTCTCCCACTCCCCCTGCTTGTGTTCCCTCTCTTGCTGTGTCTCTCTCTGTCAAATAAATAAATAAAATCTTTAAAAAAAAAACGCACAATACTTTTATTTCTGTCCCCTTTAATGTCTATTTAATCAAGCCATAAAAAAGGAAAACAAAAGAAATACAAAAGCCAACGTTAGGTAGAGAAAGAGTGAGAACTTTAGAATCAGACATGTCCGAATTCCAATCCCAGCTAGGTAGGCCAATTACTAATTCTGTATATTTGAGAAACAGCCTCTCTGAGCCTTGTGAGTGGTGTATGTGTGTGTATGCCAAATAGAAATGTGTATTGTATCAATGCCTGTTCAGTAAGTATACAGAAATCACTCCAGATATTCCAAGTAGAGAAGGATTTAATGCAAAGAATTTGTTACAAAGTCGTAAGGGAGGGAGGTGCCTGGCTGACTCAGTCCGTAGAGCATGCAACTCTCCATCTCAGGGTCGTAAGTTCAAGCCCCACGTTGGGTGCAGAGCTTACTTAAAAACAACAACAACAACAACAAAGTTGTAAGGGAAGTCTGGAGAAACATAAAAAGGAAAGCAGAGTTACCCAGAGACCAGGAAACTACCACTAATCTTGGTTTCGAGGAGCAAAAGGGAGAAGAGGGGAGCCCAAAGATCAAGGAGCCGGAACCCACAAATCTGCACTAGCTGCTAATGCACCTGCAGTTTGTACTGCTGATGCTCCTGGAACCACTTCCGCTTTTGCTAGGCAGCAAGCACTGCTGCTGCTGTTGCCAGAGGCACTGCCAAGAGCAGGAGGACCTCTCCCTTCCTCATGGGATGGTTCCCACTGGCGGAACCTAACTGGAACGAAGTGACAAAAGCATCTGAGAAATGTGGTTTTCAGATTTCCAGCCCCTTCCAGGGGAGGTTAGAGAAGAGTGGGTGTGGGGATGAGTTCCGGCAGGCAATATCTGCCACACAGATTCAGCATAACTCTTGGTTGCAAGTAATAAAACCCAACTCAAATTAATGTTAAGTACAAAGGAAATTTACTGACTTATGTGAATTTAGGCAGAGGTAAATATATATGTTAAAATGATGTTACCAGGCATTTGTCTCTCTCCACCCCTTAGCTCTGCTTTCTTTGAGTTGGTTTTGTTCTCAGGCAGGCTCTCTCCCGGTGGCAGGATGTCCACCAGGTTTGCCTTCTATGAGCACCTCTTGCCCAACGGTTGCAGGAAAATTCCTGGATCTGATTTCATCATGTGCCCATTTCTGAACTGATCACTTTGACCTGATGATGGGTTAGGAACCTAGCCACTGACGTGTGTATGAGACTGGGGTGATTCCTGTCTGAACCACATAGACTTAGAGTGGGGCGGGATGGATCTTTAAAGAACACTTATGTGTTATTACCAATAAGAAGGGGGGGGTGCGCATGCTGTGCAGATTAACAACAAAAATGACATGTTCACTACAGGATAATAATTACCTTGTATGGTTTTTCTTGTTCTCCATCCAAACTTCTTCCCTTCCTCAGCTAAAGACTTTGAAAATGTTGATATCACTGGGCACGATACCCCTCAACCTCTTTCCTGCTCCACTTTATTAATTACCCTACCTATACCCTTACCCTCTCCCCTTTCCTGTCAGCATATAAAGTTAAGGTGTCTGATTCTTCTCCATAAGCCCTTGATCCTATCTCCTCTTGTTGCCTCCAGGATCTCCCTCCATCTCTCATCATCTTTTTTATTTTCAAATTCATCTTCTCTACTGGTATCTTTTTGTAGTTGATATCTATGTTTAAGTCTCTATCATCTTAAAAAAAAGAGACAAAACCAGAATCTTTAACTTCAGATCACTCTTCACCACAGTCTATTCTTCCTTACAAATTTCTCAAAAGGAAGGTCTGCACTTATTCTACTTCCTCATTTTCATTTGTTCAATTCACTGCATTGTGGCTTCTGCCCTCATTTCCTGCTGACACAGATCTTATCATGGGGATCCAGGCCTTCAATGTTGCCAAATTCAAAGGATACTTTTTTGCCTTGAACTTATTGGAAATCTTTGCTGCATTTGATGCTGTTGACCACTTCTTCCTTCTTGAAAGTCTTTCCTCCCTTGGATTTCTTCCATGACATTACTCTCTGCTGATTCTTCTCTTACTGTTTCTTCTCAGTTTTCTTCTTAGCCTTTTTCTCCTCTGCTGGCTCCCCAAATACTGGTCCTCCTAGGGTTCAGGCCTGGATCCTTTTCTCTTCTCATCCTATATGCTCTTCCTGGGAATGTATTAGAATAGTCCTGTTGAAGAAGGGTATCGAGCAAGCCCTGGCCAGGCCTAGCATGTGACTTGTGAATTCCATTAATCTGGAAAGATTTTACTCCTTATAGATTTTCAAATGATAACAACACCCAGAAGAAAGAGGGTTTATTGAATCAACTACAAGAAAGATTGCAATATCAAAGCAATACTTATATGTAGTGGTAGAAAAGGCTGCCTTTGCTTCATTAAGTGTTTTTGCTGCTAATAGAGATGAAAGATCTATTCTCTCATATATGGTGCCAACTGCCTGGTAATGCTAAATGGTTGGTCTATTAATCCAAATAGGATAAAGCCAGTACTCTTGATAAGTGACTCTGGATAGATCTGCTTCTAATTCAAGTTTTTCCTAAATAGATCCAAGGTAATGATTTTAAAAGACTGCTGCCTCAGAGGGACCTACATTGGTCAGAACCACACACTGAGCATCTAAGGCAATTCATAGGCTACCGGTTGCTCCTAGGTCGTGGAGAACATCAGAAGTGGGGAAGAGATACAATAGAGAGAGGATGAATGAAGGACACAGGTTGACTCCCCATTGATCAGGAAGCTCTGCAAACCTAGGAAGAGATCAGGGATTCATGAAGACTGTGTGTGTCTTTGCATGCATTACATGTGAACTGTACAATTTCCTTTTTACATCTTAGCTAATTAGACTCCTTTCTCCACCCTCCCCCACCCCCCGACTATCTGTGTGCCTCTGGTTATCAGAAGAGATTTTCCTGAATATTGCAGCCACCCTATTCAATGGGGTTGGGAAGACAAGTGTTCTGCTTTGTAAACTGGTGGTATTTCTGGATTTTTTCATTTGCTCCAGCAGAAATCTGGATGTCATCTCTTTATTCCATAGCCAATCAATTGATTGATCACTTTTTGTGAATTCTACCTACTGAATATTTATTAAACCTATGCAACTTTCTCCATTCCTACTCCTACCACTATAATCATCTGCTACCTAGAACATCAATTGCCTCCTAACTGGTCCCCACACTGCCAATTTTGCTCTATCTATTCTCCACTTAGCAGCTGGAAGTGATCTTCTAAAACGCAAGGGTGGACATGCCACTCTCCTGCCTCAAACACTTTGATGATTTTCCATTCCCCTTAAAATAATGTCCAAAACCCTCAGCCTAATAGGCCCTTTTGACTTGGTACGTACCCACCCTTTCCAGCTCATCTAATAAGACGAGAATACTTCTAATAAGAATACTTCACCATTATTACACCCATACTGGCCTTTTTGTACTTCTCCTTGGACTTGGAATAATTTTCTCTTCTGGCTGACCTCCCATCTCCTTTACCCCTTCCCCTCACATATGTGTCACTTCCTTATGAAAGCCTTCCCAAACCTCCCAGGCCAAATTTAGTCCACTCATAGCATCCTGTACATCTCCTTCAAGATACTCATCATATTTCTAACCACAAGTTTAATGTCTCATTCCTGTGTTAATTCAAGCTTCATGAAGATGGGGACTGAATCTTGTTTGTTTATATGTTCCTAGTACCAAGGACAGTGCCTCACACTTAATAACTATTTGTTGAAAGAGAATGAATGAATGAATGAATGAATGAATGAGGACACCTTTCCTCTTATGGGTAATTACTTGTCTTTCAAGAACCAAGGTCAGATGTTATATCCCTCAGGTTGGGTTACATTTAAATCTGATTCATTTTTGGATCCTTAGGTTCTAGGTTGGGATCTGGTACATGGTTCTTATATCATAGATGTTTGTCAAATCATAATAAACTCTTGGCCAGGAGATGATAATTATTGAAACCAAATGATGGGTATATGAAGGCTCATTATACTGTTAAGTCTCCTTTTGTATATATTTGAAATATTCCATAAGTAAACTTAAAACATTTGTGTTCACCTCATGTTAAGTGAAAGTGTAGTCAAGGATGAGCTTGAGGCTTCTGGCTTGGGTAATCCAGTAGATGGTGGTGCCATTCACAGGGATGGACAAAGTGTACCTGCATCCAGGCAAGTGTGTGTGTGTGTGTGTGTGTGTGTGTGTGTGTTGGAGAGGGTCCTTTCTCACCCCAGTGAAACTTCTTAGGAGGCCAATAAAAGGGATGAGATAATGAGTTTAGATTTGGACACCTTTAGTTTTAGGTTTTACCTTGAGGGCTTCTCCAGTCAGTTGCTCCACGGTTAGCATTTACAATAAATTGAAACCTCTGCCTTAGAGGAATGAACCAAGAGAAGGTTTCTGGATAGTAACATTTCCCCTCATATCCTTGGTGGCCTCTTGGCCACGGACCTGACCACTGGATACTATCCCACCATCTGCGCAGCATGGCACCCCTCCATTCCTTCCTTCATACTTTTCACCCACATTCTCCCTTTTTCCTTCCCTCTTATGAATTTCTACCGGGGGAGGATTTATTTTGTATATCTGCGAGAGACCTAGGTGTCACAGCTTTTACCTTCACAGCAGGGCTAGAGTGTTAAGAAACATCTAGTTTTCAGTCTGATTTCATCACTTGTGACTGCAGGCAAGTCGCTTTACCTTTCTCAATCTCAGCATCTGTCTCTGAAAAATAAGGATAACAGTGGCATCTTCACATGTCTGATGTGAGGATGAATGCCTGAAAAAGGTTTAACACGGAGCCTGGCACAGTGTAAGCGGTCAATCAATACGATCTATTATTATTATTACCAACGCTGTGTCCTCATCGCCTCTCCACCAGGACGTCAGGGACTGCTGCCGTAAGACTGGAGCAGGCTGACTCCTCGGAGCCCCTCCCCACGCGGCCTCGGCCCGGCCACCGCCACAGCCGCTCCCGCTCCAGCCTCGTCGGTGCGGTGCGCGCGGGGGTGTGGGCCCAGGGCCCTGCGGGGCGCGCTGGGTGAGTCCGGGGCCTCGCCGCGGAGGGCGGTGCCGGGCTGGGCAGGGGTCGGCCGAGGCAGGGGCAGAGCTCTGGGACCCGGGCCCAGGGCTGGCGGCTGGCCAGGGCAGCTGGGCGGTGGGGCGCACTGAGGCCCAAGGGT